ATGCAGAAGCTGGCACATGCTTTAAAAAAAACCTCACCTTAGATAGTTGCTGGTTCTGCCCTGCCCTGGGCTGTTGCTTTCCCCACCATCTGCCCCCAGCCATAAATACACCTTCTAGTTGTTACCCTCAATTAGGAAGAGCCTGGACAAACCCTTCTCCACCCGCATTCCTCCTCCGTGTGTCCCCGCAGCAGCTCGGCAGCTTCCCCAGCTCTGGGGAGCGGGGCAGCTCTGTGCCATCCCCAGGCTTGCTTCTGCCTGGCTGAGCTTGGCCAACTGCACGGAGGGTTGAATTTGGGTTGAATTTGGGCAAAGGGTTGAATTTGGGCTCATCCTGCTGCCCCAAGCCAGGGGTGAATCCCTGGGGCAATGCGAGGCAGGAGGAACATTTGTTTGATTACAAGTGCATGGAGGTGGCCTTCAGGCCACCAGGCTTGTACGAAATCCAGAGGGTTTCCCTGCTTAGGAGGGAGATCTCAGCAGATCTCCTGCTTCCCCAGCTCTACCTGGCTGCTTATCTGCCTGCTCCAACCTGCCTGTGTCCATCCTGGGACCTTTGCAGACAGCAGGTCGGACACAGGGAGCAGCCTGGAGCCAGGCACGGGCCGTGCTGGCTGGTGCAAGCTGCTGTCGAGGTTTTTTGGAGGAAGTGTCTGGAGAGGCCGGTGTCATCACCCGTCACCTCCCTGGACGTGGCTATCGGAGGGGTTAGTGCTGCTGAAAAGCTGTGACACCCGGGACAGCTGCTGCTCACTTCTTTTGAGAGTTTTTAACTTCTGGTTGTTCATGATGCCCTGGTAAATGTCCCACACTCGGGTCTCCAGGAATAGCGTGGACCCCAGGAGGACTCTGCTCTCCAGTCACTGCCAAGTGCAGGCTGATTTTCCTGGCTGGGACAGACCAGTGTGAACATCCTGTGTCATCCCAGCAGAGTCCCCTCAACCTTCCAGGGCCTTCCCTTCTGCAGCCTGGCAGCTGGACAAGCATAGAATCCCAGACTGGTTCGGGTTGGAAGGGACCTTAAAGCTCATCCAGTCCCAACCCCCCTGCCAGCAGCAGGGACACCTTCCACTAGACCAGGTTGCTCAAAGCCTCATCCAACCTGGCCAAGAACACTTCCAGGGAGGAGCAGCCACAGCTTCTCTGGCCAACCTGGGACACTGTCTCACCACCCTCACAGCCAAGAATTTCTTCCTCACATCTCATCTCCATCTCCCCTCTGCCACTTTCAAGCCATCACCCCTTGTTCTATCACTCCCTGCCCTGGGCCAAAGTCCCTCCCCAGCCTTCCTGGAGCCCCTTCAGGTACTGGGAGGCCACTAGAAGGTCTCCCCGGAGCCTTCTCTTCTCCAGGCTGAACAGCCCCAACTCTCTCAGCCTGTCCTCACAGCAGAGCTGCTCCAGCCCTCGCATCATCCTCGTGGCCTCCTCTGCACTGGCTCCAGTAGCTCCATGTCCTTCTTATGGTAGGGTCTCACCAGAGTGGAGTAGAACATCTGAGAAGAGGAGGAAGAAGAGAAGCAGGAGGAGTTCCCTGAGCCAGCTGAGCACTTGTGGCTGTATTGGTTGTGTCTGTGAGGGGTCGAGCTCTCCCCGTCAGCGTGTGACTATTTATCCGTGTGGATCTGCAGCAGCAGCGTTTGCAGGGGACAGGGACAGTCCTGGGGCTCTGATCGGGTCCCCTCCATCCCTGCAGGCTCCTGGCTTTGCTTTGGGTGCCCTGCAAAGCTCAGGGGGTGTGTGGGAGGTGGAAGACGGGGGAGTCACTTGCCCTCATGTGCTGGGAGCGGAGGGTGACCAGCCGGGTGAGCTCCCGGTGTGATGTGCCTGGCTGATGTGATTTAATTAAGCGCGTGCGCTGGAGCGTGGGCAGAGCGGGTGCGATGGGCAGGGCTGGGGTTGCGGGGAGTGGGGAGCAGGGGCGACCAGACCCGGAGGAGAGCAGGAACCGTTCCCTGGCCAGGCACTGCCGGGATGTGCAGTCGGAGCCCAGCTCGCCCGCGGGAGGAAAGGGGCAGGGACTTGCCTGGGATGGTGCGAGGCGAAGGCAGAGCTGGCAGCAAAGCCCTGGTCTCCTGCGTCCCAGCCTGGGCTCTGCCTGCTGAATCACCTTCCT